TTGAAATTATTGCCTGAAATATTTGTTATCCCTTGTTTTTGGATGGATGCTACAACTCCAAAATACTCCCAAGGCTAGGTACGATGAAATTGTGAAGGAAGTCTCTTCCTATCTGAAGAAAGTCGGTTACGATCCTGAGAAGATCCCATTTGTCCCCATTTCTGGTTTTGAGGGTGACAACATGATTGAGAGGTCTACCAAACCTTGACTGGTACAAGGGTCCTACCCTCCTTGAGGCTCTGGACATGATGCAGGAGCCCAAAAGGCCCTCTGACAAGCCACTCCGTCTTCCCCTTCAGGAGGTCTACAAGATTCGTGGCATTGGAACTGTCCCAGTCAGTCGTGTTGAAACTGGTATCCTTAAGCCAGGTATGGTTGTGACCTTTGGTCCTTCTGGTCTCACCACTGAAGTTAAGTCTGTTTAGATGCAACAAGAAGTGCTCCAAGCGGCTCTCCCTGGTGACAATGTTGGGTTCAATGTGAAGAATGTTGCTGTTAAGTATCTGAAACGTGGCTAATTTGCTTCCAACTGCAAGGATGATCCTGCCAAGGAAGTTGCCAGCTTCACCTCTCAGGTCATCATCATGAACCACCCTGGGCAGATTGGAAATGGATATGCTCCAATGCTCGATTGCCATACCTCCCACATTGCCGTCAAATTTGCTGAGCTCCTGAGTAAGATTGACAGACGATCTGGCAAGGAGCTTGAGAAGTAGCCCAAGTTCTTGAAGAATGGTGATGCAGGAATGGTAAAGATGATTCCCACCAAGCCCATGGTTGTGGAGACTTTCTCTGAGTACCCACCTCTTGGAAGATTTGCTGTGAGAGACATGCGACAGCCTCTGGCTGTTGGTGTCATCAAAGAATGTTGAGAAGAAGGATCCATCTGGTGCCAAGTCACCAGGTCAGCTGCCAAGGGGGGTAAAAAGTGAGCTGTTTTTCAGTGGGATTTTGGGATTTTGCCTTTATGTATATTGGGGTTTTGCCCTTATGATGCCTTTCATTTTTAATTTTGACTTATTTCAGTATTTTTAAACCTCGGTTACTCTCATAGTTCAGCACATTTGGTTAAATTCCTATCTCTTATAGTTTCTGTTTTCTTTAGATGCCTGCTACCGTCCAAGTAAAAAGTTTTCAATCACAGTTGATTTCTATTATTGGGTTGACTCTGTCTTATTCGATCCCTGTGCTGTTCTCTGGTTGTGTAGAAATGCTGTTGTGTTAATATTAAGCTGATTTGTCAATAGACAGAAATGCAGAAAAGTTGCTCAAATCGCACCAAGTTACACTAATATTAGATTGAAAACTAGTTATTCTATGATTATGTACAAGTTGTAGAATTAGAGCTTTATATTTAGATTAACTGCATCTTATATTCGTCGTGATATTATTGGACTGTTACCGACTTCGAGCCTTCCCTTTCAGAACCTAAATGTGGATTGGTTTCAAACTCAGATGAAAAATGATTAAAGTATGCATTTAACTCCTTAAAGTTTGATGTTTTTAGTTTTTTATTTTATATTATACAGATTTTAGCTCTTAAATTTAAAATTTAAAGATTTGAAAATTTTAATTTTTAGACTGATAAAATCTGTTAATTTGAAAATAAAACATTTATTAAATATAGTTTTTAAAAATTAAAAATATAATAATTTAATTTTAATTATTTAAAATTTAAAAAAAAATTAAGAATAATTAGTGGATAATGTTGTTAAATACATAAAATAGTATTACATATTTATAATTAAATTAAGTGAT